TAATGATTAGACCCAAAATCTAGCTAGAATCTGGTTTTTTCCCGGACACCGCCACTGAATGGCTGCTTATCGCAGAGGCTTTCTTTCTGCTAATACAGATAACCTACCAAAAAACACTACTGGAAATGCTATCTTGGTCAAGCGCACACGATTAGAACAAGTCACGGCATGAAAGTAGCCAACATCAGCAGGATATACTCGTAAATATACTCAAATAGAGCAAAAACATGTTACAGATGCTGAACAAACAACCAGGCAATTGAAACGAAAACACAGTACTACACAGTCTCCTCCAGGTCTATACCCACTTCTTCTTCACTGGAGCGAAGTTCACTGGGACTTAAACCACAGATCACATCTCTTGGCACATAGATATCGGACCTGCAATAGTAGGACTAGTCCGGCCCTTGTGAAAGCCTTTGGTCAACAAAAACTTTTTTCATCAAAGATCTATAGCTGGTCAAAAGTGAGGACAAGCTTTTTTCGTTCAAGCCACTTCGTTGCTCATGCTAATCAAGAAATGTGTTTTACTGATTATGGAACAAGCTGGTTGGAGTGAAGACGAAATTCTGGTTCATGTGTCGGCAAAAAATGGATAAGAGAAAGTTCTAAGCATTAGTGAAAAACTTTGATAAGATGCAGAGAAATAATTTCGACAAAGCACATGTGTCGCTACTGCAAAACTGGACGCTTTTAACCTGAGCCAAAACTCACAGACTACTATCAAATGAACGGATTTCTGACGGGACTCGGGAGGGTCGAAAATGCTCCGAAGAATGAGATCCGCTAGCTTTCGTTCTCCTCAGTGCATCATCTCGCTCCTGATATTCAGAATCACGGTTTTAATCCAATGAAGGAACAAATCACAATTACTTCTAAGCGTCGATAAAGATCAAAAATGTGCTCCTCCTGCCTACGAACCACAGCCTGTAGAGACAAGAATTTCTGCTCTGCTGCATCCTTCTGTTCTCGCAGCAACTGAAGAACAAGATTAAGCTGGAACTCTTCAGCACGAAGTATTTTGTGATAGTACTCACATTGGTGGCTCGATCAAGTAGTCCTTTTAGTTCAGCGCTACGCACGCTCTCCGTTTTGCACATATGTTCCCATTCCTGTGCACGAGCGCTAGAAGAAAGCAGTGTCACTTACGAAGCACTCGCACAAGGACCGAGTTTGCCAAAGTCAAGTGATTCTCACTTTCAACGATGTCAAAACCCGCTTTTTTT